TGTCAATTTCAATCCTCCTCTGTCAAAATCCAGGCTGATTTGTTATCATTGAAAATGTCTTTTAAAAATCTTGACAACTTGGAAAATTGCTGGAATTGGTTTGGATTGGTCAGGCAAACTCCCCTTTCACTTGCTTCAGTCCAATATCATGGTGCCGACCCACAACAGCAGAGTTCTTAGCCAGTGTGCCATTAGAGAGACCAGCTCTTAAAACTTAAGTTTCTGTGAACAGGGGTGGTTTCTGACAGAAGCAAAGGTAGTTTTGTGGTCCCTGGTTCATCCTTGCCGGTTCGAATACTCCTCCGTCGAAATCCGGACCCATCAATTTTCGCTAAAAATAGGAAGGCCTTTATTAATTTGGCCAAAAATGAAAAAATTTAAAACCGCTGGAAATGGTTGGGATTGGTTCGACAGCATCCTCTTTCACTCTCTCCTTCGAAATTTCACGCCACTGGGCAGTTTTAAGTATAGGGAGACACAGCCAGGAGCGAGCTTTTCTGAGGAGATGTTGCTGCGGTGGTGGCTGGCTATACCTGCTTCCGAGGGTCCACGCAAGGGGATAGGCGGGACCCAGCCGGCCCATGTGTTGCGGGGGTAGTTGGGGAGGTAGTAGTGCAGAAGAGCTCCCATAAGAAAAGCTCGCTCCTAGTTGTGTTTCTCTATAAGTTACGCCTGTTTTTCTTGGACCGGACCGCCTGCTAGGTAGGCAGCCCATCGTACGCTGCCCGCCAGATACAAAAGACCACCCCTTAAAACTAAAGTTTCTCTGGACGGGGGTGGTTCTTGGCAGAACCAGAAGTAGTGTTGTGGTCCCCTGGTTCACTTCTGTCGATTCGAATACTTTTCCGTCGAAATCCGGACCCATCAATTTTCGCTAAAAGCAGAAAGGCTAGCCTTTGTAAATTTTGCCAAACATGAAAAGTTTGAAAATCGATGGAAACGGTTGGGGTTGGTTCGACAGCACCCCCTTTCAATATCTCTTTCGAAATTTCGAACCGCCGATCCATTTCAAGTTAGTTACGCCTGATTTCTCAGACCGGTTCGCCTGCGAGGCAGGCAGCCCATCGTACGCTGCCCGCCAGATTCAAAAGACCACCCTTAAAACGCAAGTTTCTGTGGACAGGGGTGGTTTCTGATGGAACCAAAAGTGGTTTTGTGGTCCCCTGGGTCACCCCTGTCGAATCGACTACTTTTCCGTCAAAAACCGTACCCATCACTTTTCGCTAAAAACACAAAGGCTATAGCCTTTGTAAATTTGGCCAAAAATGAAAAAAATAAAAATCGCTGGAAATGGTCGGGATTTGCCAGACAGCATCCTCTTTCAACCTCCCCGTCGAAATTTTACGCCCCCGGGCCTTTTTAAGTGAGTTACGCCTGTTTTTCTGGGACCTGCTCACGGCTCGCCCGCCAGATTCAAAAGACCACCCTTAAAACTCAAGTTTCTCTGGACAGGGGTGGTTTCTGAATGAATCAAAAGTAGTTTTGTGGTCCCCTGGGTCACCCCTGTCAAATCGACTACTTTTCCGTCGAAATCCGGACCCATCAATTTTCGCTAAAAACACAAAGGCTATAGCCTTTGTAAATTTGGCCAAAAATGAAAAAAATAAAAATCGCTGGAAATGATTGGAATTGGTCTAGGAGGGTCGCCTTTGACCTCCTCTGTCGAAATTGCGTGCTTCTTGCCTCTTTTGCATCCTGTTTCTTCGACTATAAAATTGCGTCTTTGGTTTGTTGCAGGAAGATCGGCCTGGAGGTGCACCTGTCCTGGACATCAGCTGTGCTGCCCATGGAATCATCAGATATAAGTTGAGTTGGCGTCACAGTGATTACAGCTGGTCCAGTTGTTTTATTCTAGTGTGCAGTCTGATTAAGCTTGAATGATTTTCTCTCTGGCACCAAACTTTGTTGGCCAT